CTTAGCAGGAAATAACCAGTGAGGAATGACAGAAACCAGTGAGCAAAGGGAGAGGGGACATCTTCAGATGTCACAGCTGTGGAAGACTAGTCCTGAACGGCGATGATGAAGCAGTGGAAGAGGGCAGATGTGAGACCGGTGCCGTGGCTCACTAGGCTAATCCTCCGCCCTGTGGCACCGGCACGCCGGGTTCTAGTCCCGGTCGGGGCGCCGGATTCTGTCCCGGTTGCCCCTCTTCCAGGCCAGCTCTCTGCTCTGGCCAGGGAGTGCAGTGGAGGATGGCCCGAGTGCTTGGGCCCTGCACCCCATGGGAGACGAGGAGAAGTACCTGGCTCCTGCCATCGGATCAGCGTGGTGCGCCGGCCACAGCGTGCCGGCCGCAGCGGCCATTGGAGGGTGAACCAACAGCAAAGGAAGACCTTTCTCTCTGTCTCTCTCTCTCACTGTCCACTCTGCCTGTCAAAAAAAAAAAAAAAAAAAAAAAAGAAGAGGGCAGATGTGAATGTCCTAAGGCCCCAAGAGCCGGCATCTTGGGAAAACAAGAGAGATGTGGACACCAGAGAGCAGTGGTGAAGACAGCTGGGATGGATGAGGTCTGGGCCACAGGAGAGCTGTGCCAAGGTTGAATCTTATTTCTTGTGCCACAGGAGGCCCTGGGAGGGCCCCTCTGGCTGGTGGGGATGGGTGCCCAGGAGAAAGAGCCCAGTTAGGAGGCTGGAGCAGTGTTGGGGGGGTGAAGCCATGGTCTCCTGGGAGTCTGGTGCCAGGAGGGTGGTGGGAGCTTTACAGATGGGCTACATGGGGCCTGTCCCATCAGCCATGGTGTCAGGCTCTGGAACGCTGCCATCCCCACTCGGCACCCCCTCCAGAGATCATGCGTGGTGGTGCGTGGTTCCGGGTCCCACGGAGTTGCTTCTGGGTTGCCCTGCCCCCTCCCTGGCCCAGTGACCTCGAACATGCCATGCAGCTCCTAGGGACCTCAGAGGGAGCTCAGAACATGTCAGAGGGCTTTCTGCCAACACAGTTTCTCTCTGTCCCTCCGCATCAGACTTGGGGTCAGACTTTCTGGGTCCCACCTAGGTCAGAGGAAGGCATGAGTCTGGGTACGGTTACCCTTCCGAGCCTCAGCACCACATCTTTGTAGTGCACACAGTGGGGCTGCAGCATGGGTTCTGTGACATAGTCCCAGGGAAGCAGAGAGCAGTTCCTAGCACACAGCAGGTGCTGGGTGAGAGGGCTGCAACTACTCTCAGATCCTCCTTCATCTCCTCACACCATGCCCTGGACTCTGCTCCCAGGCCCCTGGGCCTTGGAATGTGCCGACACTTGACGTGTTCCAGATTTATAGACAGAAGCTCGGATTTTTTAGCACAAATGGCTGCACATTCTATGCCTTTTTAAAGATGTGACAATACACCTTGCAGACTGTTCCCTATCAGAACTCCATCTTTTTCACTGCTGCATAGTACTCCTTCCATTGATTACCATGCTTCATTTAATCAATGCCATTTGTGCTGCTTCTAATGTTTTTGGCATCTCAATCGTTTCTGCAATGAGAAGTCTTATACACTTGTCTTTTTGCAAACACGTTAACATATCTACAGAAAAAAATTGCTAGGGGGCAGTTGCTGTGGCATTTGGCACATGCACTTGAACTCCTAATTCTTATCCTAAGCAGTGTCAAATTACTGTCTGTGCATTCTCTCTCACCAGCATGTGAGGTTAGTGTCCCCACTGCCTTCACCCAGTAGGCCGTCAGGATTTTCCCTATTTGTTCTATTCTGATACTGTTGTGATTCCAGTCATTTCTTTGACTACTACAAACACTCACCCTCATTCACCATTGGTATTTTCTGTTCTGTGACCTCTCCATTTTCCTGGCACATTGTCAAGACCTGAGAGCTGATTTGTTGGTGTGTTTTTGGGACCCAAGGTGACTTTTGTGCACGGGACCTCTGCCTTGCAGAAGCCGGTTGGGTTTCTGTGGTTGAGTCAGACTGGTCTTTTATGGCTTCTGGATTTCTACCTGGAGGTACAAAAGCCTGCTACTCCCAGAGGATAGAAAGAAATTTCCCACATTTTCCTCAAGGAGTTTTATGTTTCTTTCAAATGTGAAAATCTCCAATCCTTTTGGCATTTATCCTGGTTTACACTGAGGTTTGGGCCCAATTTCACTTGTTCTGATAACAGCTGGCTCACCAGCCAGCTTCCAGGGATGGTGAGCGGCCCCCACTGTTAGACGGCGCAGTCACCACATGGATGACATGACTGGTTTGGACCTTTGTCCTGAGAGCAATGAGACGTCAAGGACCAGATCTGTGCGGGGAAAGCATCACTCTGGCTGGCATGTCGTGGGCCAGCCTGTGTGCCGCCCACTGTGATCCCAGGGCACCCACCTCAGCGCTGGGGAACCAGTGGCAGCCTATGTCCCCAGCCCGCCCTGCAACACCACTTCTCCAGGAATTCCCTGGGAATCCTTTCTTTTCCTTTTGGGTTTCAGCATATTCTCTTGTTTAATTGACATGTGGTGACTGTACATCTTTTTGAACTCAGTGTGATACTTTGATGCACAGTTACAATGTGTCGTAATCCAACCAGGGTGATTAGTGCATCTATATCTTACTAAGCAATTCTGTGTGTTGGGAACGTTCAAAATCCCTCCTTCTGGCTACTCAGAATACAGAACAGACTATTATGGAGGGGCACACTACAGAGCCCTGCGGCAATCCTCTGAGGAACTGCCTGAGCCTGCATATCCCCGGAGGAGCTCTCACACCCCACCCTCTGCATGCTGTGGCCTCCTCTCCTCCAGTGAGCTCCGCCTGCTCCTGACCATGGCCTCCCCCTCCCACGGTCTTGGTGGGCCCTCATTGTCACCCAGAAATGCAGCACCCAGGAAAGCTCAACCCACATGCTGCAGCTGCCCCTCTTTGTTCCCTGACCCCACCACTTCGCCCCTCAGCCCCTCCAACTTGAACCCCTGGGTCTCTCCCAGTCTCTATGCCTCCTGTCCTCACCAAGCAACCCAAATGCCTGTCAACTGAAACCTGGATAATTATGGAATATGTACACCATGAGGAGGGGGATGGGAAGGCTGGCCTTCACTGCCCATGCATGGGTTGATGTTTCCGAGTAAACCCAAGAGGCAGGGAGACAGGTGAAGCTGCATCTGCAGGTGCGGTCATGTGTCCAGTGAAAGCTGGGGCACAGGCACAAGCACAGACCCAGATAGATGCAAAGTACAAGTTCAAGAACAGGTGCAGGTAGACACACCTGGTCTCCAAAAGGCCATGGCAAGTTCAGTGACTTTTGTGCTCTTTGTGAGACAAGAAGCAAGGGCGGTGGCTGAAAGTGAAGAGTGGGCTCCACATACATCCGAGTTCCTGGTGCCAGCTCTGCTCCTAGTCTAGACTTCAGGAAGCCACAGCCTCCTGAGTTACCTCTTGGGTCTCATACATCAGTGTTTCAAGCCAAAAACCTTTGTCCTCTCTCTCCCTCCCCAGTGCACCCTCCCCCCACCAGTAAATCAACCACGGTGGCAGTCTGTCCTTCCTGACAAGGGTTTCCTTACACTTGCCAGCACCTCCAAGGGGGGCAGCTGTAGCAGGTCTCCCAGTTCACTGTGCTCACCCTGCCCCACCCCTCCTGTCACTCCTGCAGCCAGAACCTCCCATGACCTCCCACAGCCCTTAAAATCCAGCCCCCAGCCTATACCGTGGGTCAAAACCTGCATCTGTCTGTACCTCCTGTCTGCACCCTCAAAAGCCCCAGGATCCTGCTGTGTTCCAAGTTTTCTCTGCAATGCCCCCCCTCTCCCCTTGTCCACCCAGGTCACTCATCTGTCCCTCTCTGTCCTCAGCCCAGACCCCCACACCTGAGTCAAGCCCCTGGCTGAGTTCTTGGTGCTGCCTCTGCTTCCCCATGGCTGTCTCCTTCGGTGTCCGTCTGTTCAGTGCACAGTCTAGGAGTCAGTGACCCTGCCTCCTGTTCTCCTTGCTGGGTCACCGTCCCCCACAGCTTCTGGCCCCTGGCTGGCCACTGCCTGAGGGGCTGCCTCCCTGGGCCAGCCTCAGCCTCCAGCGGGAGGTTTGGGTCTGATAAAAGCAAAGCAGTTACTGGTTTGGTGTGCAAAGCATGTAGGGTTGCAGAGTTGGGGGACCTCCTTCCAGGATGCACTGCCCCCCCTCACCAATTACAGTCAGCCTTGGTTTCCTTGGGGGATTGGTTTCAGGACCCGTTAGAGTACCAAAATCCACAGATACTGAAGTTCCTTATACGAAAAGCATAGCGTTTGCATATAGCCTATCTCTAGAAAACTTTTCACACCTAATGCAACATCAGTGCTATGTACATAGTGAAGACACGATATTTTGGAGTATTTTCAGTTTGTGGTTGGTTGAATCTGTGGATGTGGAACCCACAGATACAGAGGGCCAAGTGTATGGCCTTGGGCAAATCGCTGCTCTCTGGGCATTATGTTGTCACGGAGATGACCATGGTTCCTCTCACCGTGCAGTGACTCACAAACTGGGATGCAAGGCCCCTGTGGATTTCTTTCCAGCATCCTCCCCAAGCCCTCCTCTGCTGTGGGGCAGGCCTCAGCTGGGCACTGAGCAGCTTCTAGACTCTGACGGGGCCGTGGGCACCCCTAACCTGTGATCTTCCCCCACCCACATTGTCTTCTCCCCTGAATCTCACCTCCCCCATAGACGTGACCCAGCCCCTGGTAAGCCCCAACCCTGATCCTCCAGCAGGAACCCAGCTTCCTGCACTCGTGAACCTGTGAGCACTGTCATTCCCACCACAGGACCACAAGGCCCTCCAAGGACAGAGGTGCTCTCTCGGCCCCGCCTTGTGGCTTCGGGGCTGAGGCCTGTGTGGTGCACAGCCATGTTTGTTGGCCATGGTGTTGTCACAGTCCTGGGAGGCTGTGCTGGGAGTGCGCGAGGGGACCCTCTGCCTCTGACACTGACTGTGGCTTCTCTGCTTGTGTCTTGCAGGTCCTCCAGTAAGTGTCCGGGACTGTGCACCCTGCTCCTGAAAGATAAGACATTTGGTTCTCTCCCTGTAGCATGTCCTTGCAAACCAGTTTTGGTGAGAGAGGTGGGCCCTTGAAAAACAGAAAAAACCCACCCCAAACAAGAGACCCATTGGTTTTTGATTGGCAGGTGGAGACAAGTGCAGAATTCTGGGGTCTGACTGCCTCCTGAAACTGTGGTCCTTCCTCAAGCACCAGCACAAGCCCGGCACGCCTCACCAACTCCGTGGCTCAGCCTGGTGCATTGCAAGTGCATGCCCATACTTTTTCAGGGCTGTGCAGCCACTGGCTCTGTCTCGCAGGCTTTGGCAGAAAGGGCTCTAACATCAGGCTAGGATTGCAGGAATGATCCCTAGATCCCAGGGTTCATTTTCCTTCTTGGCCAGAATACATTTTGCTCCCTGGCAGGTAAGAGGGCTGCGGTACAGCAGGCAGAAAAACCACTGCATTCACAAGGGGTGTGAGGGGAAGCAATGGATTCCCCACAGCCTCCCCTTGGTGCCAGAGGCAGCCCTGGATGCGAGGGAGGGGCTGCCAATGGCCCCAGAAGCCCCCTTCACTCTCCAGGGCATAGGAGTCATCTGCATTGGCTTCCTCTTGGCAGCTTCTCAGAGCCTGATAAACGCCTGTGAATCCACTCAGGAAGCACATGCCTGAGGGCATGAGCCAACGTTAGCCATCTCCTTTCCCATGAGCCCTTTGCTGTGATACATTTCCTGATCACATCCTTGGGGATCCGGGCTTCAGGCACGTGAGCCCCACCCTGAGCCAACAGAAGAGGCGTGGATGCCCTGACCAGGAGCAGCACATCACAGCAAGGTCTCCCCGCTGTCCCACGCAGAACACAGAGCACTGTGGAGGGTGTTTTATTTTTTTAACTTGATTATTTAAATAGTCGATGTATTAAACGCAGAGACTACCAACGTGCAACCTGCAAGGGGCCTAAAGGAGAGATAGAAGCCCAGGAAGGGGACCAGGCTAGGGTGCGCACTGCCTGCTACACTGGGAGACTGCCAGGCATCGGCAATGATAAATGTTCCCCTACTCCCCGCACTCTCCCATTCCAGAGCCTCAGGCAGGGACTGAGTACCCCCCAGGCCTTTCTGCCAGCCCCATTTCAGGAACATTTTCAGTTCCAGGTCTGGTCACAGTGGCTGTAACACTGCCCTCCCCATGTCCCCATGGGGTCTGTGCCATTTGCCCCAGCTAACATGGGGGTGGAGGGTGACCCTCATGAGTGTGTGCCCTGGTGGGCCTGAAGAAGCCCATGGCCTGCAGTCCCCCAGCCTGGCCCGATGAGGCAGGAAAAGGGCACTGCATCCCCCAGACCCATTGGAACCCTATGTCGGCGCCCAGCAGCCTCTGTGCAAGCCATGCGGGACGTGGATGGTGCAGGCCCCAGTGAGCTCTGAATGGTGTTCTGCCGAAAGTCTGATTATTAACGACGTATTAATCACCACAGGGCCAGTCGGGACGAGATGGCTACCCGGTAATTTGTCATTTATTTTTTTTGCTCTCTCTGCTCTGTTCTCTTAAGCCACCACTGTCCCCCTGAGCCTTAGCTGACTGTCTGTGCCCCTCCCCCTCTGCTCTCAGGGTCAAGCTCTCGAGGCTCGTGGAAACACAGGTAGTGCCTGCAGGCAAAGTGGAGAGGCTTCCGGAAGGGGCCAGGGTGTCTCCCCAGATCCACCCGGCGCTGCGGTGGCATCCCCTCCCAGACACACTTGGCTGCTGCTCTCTCCCCAGCCCACCATGCCAACTCCACACTCAAGAGCTTGGCCTTTGTGGTGCTATCACTTCTCAGATCTATTTCAAAGCAGACAAACATGAGCTAGCCCAGGAATTGATGTCCCCCAGCCCTGCCGAGTGAGGGGTGGCCCAGCTGCCCTGGGGACCTGCAAGGAGGTTAAGGACCATGGAGGGGGCAGTAGAAGTGCGGGTGTGACCCACAGGGGAAGACCTGCTCTGCACCTGCAGATTAGGAAGAGGCAAGGAGAGAAGTGTTGGTGGTGGAGACCGATCTGTCCAGAGTCAGGAAGGGCCAGCCATGGAGAGGGTGGTCCCCATTCCTGCAGGAAAGCCCCCTCCTGGAGGCTGGAGAGAAAAGATCCGTCCCGGGCATCAGGATGGATCTGTGCTGACTGCTGGCTGGAAAAGTGCTCACTCTCTCTGAGCCTCCCACTCTGTGAATGGGGTGCTGAGGGTCCCCCTCACAGCATCCAACCCGGGATCAAGTGAGACTATAGAGGTGACAGCGCTACACGCAGCACAAACTGTGTCACAAACTCAGCCCTTCAGGACTTGGTGGAAAGTAGGGAGCATTTACCTTGTGCCCAGACAGGCAGTATGGCTCCCCTGCAGCAGGCAGCCTGGCCTCTAACTGGGCTCTGCAGGACGTAAGAATGGAAGGCTCGAAATGGCTATGACCCACCTTCACCCCACGGAGCACAAGGGCCAGGGCCCTCTTCCTGGTCAGCAAGGAGATGCACTGAGCAGCTGGAGGCTCTTGCTGGACCCTCAAGCAATGCCTTAAGCAGTTCAGGACGACTGAAACGAGTGGTTCTAACAGAGCCACTGCTGGGTGACCCACATCGCTTTTACCCACCTGGTGTGTCTATCTACTTTGCAGATGCCCCTCGACTTACGCTGGGTTAAGGCTCCAAAAATCAGTCATAAGTGGGAGGAGTCATAGGTGGAAAATGTACTGAAGGCCCCTGACCCGCCACCTGCCCTGGCCCAGCAGCCCCGCGCCCTGGAGAGCCTGGGTCAGTCCCCTTGTGACCATGGGGCTGACTGGGAGCGCGCTTGCTGCCACCGCCCAGCATCACAGGGTGGGGGTGGGGGGGATGGGACCACCAGCGCTAGCCCAAGACAAGTCAGCGTCCACACCCCAGGCATGCGGTGCACGGAGTGCGTGTTGCTTCCACGCCATCGGGAGTGGGAAATCCCAAGTGACGCCCTCCTAGGTCCAGAGTGGAGTGGGTGGTGCAGGGGAGCTACTCCTCACTTCCCCACGGCTTCTCCCCCTGAGCTCTCAGGGACCCAGGCACCCCCTTTCCCCACTGTAAGCATCAGAGAGGCCACCGGCTGATGATGGGGGTCATTTCTCCTGGGTTCTCCCGACCAGCTGCCAGGGGTCTGCCTTCCACAGAGGTCTCTTCTCCCTGGGCCACCCTCCTGCCTTCCTCCAGGACCCAGTGGGGTATGGGATGGCCACCAGCACCATCGGCCTCAGGCAAGAGCTGTGGAGCCCAGAACCCGGGTCGGAACCCAGCCTCTGCCTCCCATGAGAGAGCAGGGAAAACCTTGGGCAGTCCCTGTAGTGGCCCTGAGCTCTACCCCCTGCCCTGAAGAGAAGAAAACGAAGGTGGGGTTCAGAGCCCACACACTGCCTACGCGGGACGTGGTGCTCACGGCCAACTGAGGGCGTGGCCACTGGGCGCCCACAGGACTGTCGGGATCCACACAAGTTGTAGTGCATGCGAGAGGGGCTCCAGCCTGGCTCTGTAATGCCGGGGTGGGGAATGGAGGGATGTGTGTGGCCCCCAGGGTGAAACTGGGGTTCCTGGGGAGGAAGCAGGGCAGAGCCCAGTGGGGGCCCCCCACTTCCTGTCTGCAGGCAGCTCTGCAGCTCGCTCCTCATAGCGCTGAGACGCCCTGAGCAGACAAGCAGGCCAGGGATGAGGGGACCCGGGAAGCTGTCACCACAGCCCATGTGTGCCCTTTCCCTGAGGGTGCCTGGCCCAGCCTGCACCAGACCCAAGTTTCTGCACAGAGGTGGGCACCTGCAGGGCCCAGGGCATGGGTGTTGCCTCCAAGCATCAGCGCTCTGGCACTGCTGCCTGAGCTGACCCTTCCATGAGACCCACAGCTGAGAGGGGACTGTGAGGGGTGGACACCCTGCTGGGCTCCCCTGGAGGAGGGAGAGCAGTTCCGCAGCGGGAGCAGAGGGGACAGACTTCTGCAGGCTCCTGGGGCCCATGAGTTTTGAGCTGAAATTCCCATGCCTTGGCCTGTGGAGGGCCCCCAACCAGGGCTGACTGCAGATGGCTCTGTGTGGTGAGATCTTTCCTAGGAATCGGTGTAGGCTTATTTCTGTGATTATCTCCTCAGCATTAATGTCTGTAGTTGAGTCACTGCACCAAAGGGTTTGCACATGTTTGAGGCTTTGATGTGTATTGCCAAATAGCCCTGCAGGAGGCTGTCCTAATTCCCATTCCCACCAACAGCAGATGAATACGGGCTGTTTCCCCAAGCCCTGGACACACTTTTAAATGTATGTCAGTATGGTAAGTTTAAAAATATATGCATGTATGTACAGATCTTATTTTAATGTAGGGTTCACCTTCAATAGTGCATTTGAGATTTGTGTGGTCCTTGGTGCTGTCTGGTGGTCAATATTGGAATTGCAGGCATAGAGCTTAAAAAGGTGACCGCAGCATTGGAGAGCCTTCACATACAGGTTGGTCCAGGGACCACAAGGCTCAAGGAATCAGCAGTGCAGGGGGAATTCTGAGCTCAGAACGTTGCAAGCCAAGTGCACCCATGCCAGCCCAGCTCCCAGTTCTGAACTCTTGGCCATTGCAGGCATTTGGGGAGTACATCAGCTCTTTCTCTGCCACTCAAATGAATGAATTAATTAATCTTTTTTTTTTCTTTTTTTGACAGGCAGAGTGGACAGTGAGAGAGAGAGAGACAGAGAGAAAGGTCTTCCTTTTGCCGTTGGTTCACCCTCCAATGGCCACGCGGCTGGCGCTTCGCGCTGATCCGAAGCCAGGAGTCAAGTGCTTCTCCTGGTCTCCCATGGGGTGCAGGGCCCAAGGACTTGGGCCATCCTCCACTGCACTCCCGGGCCATAGCAGAGGGCTGGCCTGGAAGAGGGGCAACCGGGACAGGATCTGGCGCCCCGACCGGGACTAGAACCCAGTGTGCCGGCGCCACAAGGTGGAGGATTAGCCTAGTGAGCCGTGGCGCTGGCCCAATTAATCATCTTAAGTGGATGAATTGAGAGTTAAATGATGAAAAAAAGCAATGATCTTGAGGGAGAAATTTTCCCAGCAGAGGAAAAAGCAGGTGCCCAGGTCATGAATTTGGAGTGAGCTTTGTGTCTCCAGCAGCACTGAAGGCCACAGTGGAAGGAATGAGTGAGCGAGGGACAGGGAGATGGTAGAAGGCAAATGCCAAGGGGTGTCTGGGCCGCATCAGGTAAAACCTTGAAGGCCATGGTTTTGAAGGTCCGCTGGGGGGAGGTGATGGCTGAACTTGGCCCTGGTTCTAGAAGCCACCCTCCCCAGAGACAGCTGCCAGGGGCACTGAGTCCTTTAGGGAACCCATGAGACAGGACTGTCACCTCTCAGCCCCTCAGCCCTCCAACTGTGCCAGGGAAGCGGGGGCAAGTACTGAGTGCTTACTGGATACACACTTATTCATGGGAGGCCAAGGCAGAAAGCTCCAAAACTCAAACCTCCTGAGCACAAATCCGAGGCCACAGCAGACAATTCCACATCTGACCTCACGGGATGGATCGCAGCGCAAACACAGATGCACCAGCACATAAGCTGTTCCTCAGGCCTATGAGACAAATGAATGTGGGGTTGAGTCTGGTCCTGCCCCAAAATATCTTGTGTTGCAGGCAGACTTTCCACAATGCGAAACCTGAAACCCATGTGGCCCCAGGCATTTCAGGAAGGGGCCTCCCAGGCTGCAGGGCAAAGACGAGGAAGGGAGCCTGGTGGGAGGGGGTTTCTGTAGTGCCTTCCCTAGTGAGACCATAATCCAGAATTGCAAGGTGGCAGCTGCTGAGGGTTGCACTAGCGCCACCTCCTGGGCCCCAAGCATAGTGCAGGGGACCCATCTGCCCAAATACCCCCCACCCCCACCAGAGGGATGGGGCACACACTTGCTCCGGGATTTACAGGCTCCCGGCCGCAGCGTGGTCCCTGAGGCAGGGCCCCAGCCTGGGACCAATTTTGACATGAATGACTCAGTCCGGCTGTTTGGAATTAATCAAGGGAGCGAAAGGGGCTCCGAGCACCACACATACATGTGCTTTCTTGCACTCTCGTAGTTCAAAAACAGCTTTGATTGTAAAAGTGTAATTAGTTAAATGATTCATCTGTAATGTCCTAAACCCATCTGTTTTTTTAGATTCCAACATCCTCCATCTCATTTTCATCTGACCCCTGCGGGACTGCCCCCCAGCCCCCTGGATTCCGGGCTGAGCAGGGGACGGGATGAAAGCAGATGTCCCAAGTCCCCAGTCATGGCCCCCAGATTGGAACCGCAAGGAGACACAGCCTGGCCCGCTGGAGAGGGCCACCATGCTGGCCTCTCCCACAGCCCCCAGGCCCACATTGGGCAGCTGCCCCTTGTCTTGGCCGGGTACTGCATGCCCAGTTTCCCCATGAGTGTCCCTTGTGGGGCACCCCAGCTTGGGGAGGCTCAGCTGCTGCTCCTGTCTTTGGGCCCCAGATGACTCATATAGACCTG